CGTCGTATAGATTTCAGACTTAATATCGAACCTTCACAATATCGGTCTAACCCCGAACTCACTCTACGGACCTCTATGTAAATGATGACGCCTATCGAGACGGGCGTGTAACCCGTTAAACGATAAACGTACTGCTCCGGTGAAACATTACTGGTATGTGGGAACATGTTCGCTAATTAATTCATGCCCCGGAGATATAATATTCAACTCCCATACTGCATTGCAAGGGCGACGATAGTAGTATTCGTGGGAAAGAAACATACGCGTAATTCGAGTAAATACTAAAATGATAAATCATGATAATAATAAAGTAAGTTAAAGTTAGAAGGTACCGGAGAAATAAATGCTCTTTGCAGCTGGCGTCTCGTTTTTTTGTAAATCATAGCAATATTCAAATGAACGTTTTAGCGGAAGCCTGTCTGCGCGAGCAAACCAAAAGCTAGCTAGTGCAAATGTGACAGTACTGGTGCCGGAAACGTCGCAAACTCGTGAGGGCGCTTATCCGTATTTCGTGAAAGTGACACAAACAGATGCATCCCAGAAAAGCCCCAGAAACGTGATTGTGAGTAGGTATACAATTTGTTATTTAGCCAATACATAAAAAAAAACGTGAAGCGACTAACTAGGCCAGTCGAGTCTATTTTGTATTCAACAATGACGTAATCAGGCTGGTTTGTTGGATGACGTATGGTCTTTTAAAATGACACGACAAATGTATTGCAATTGGAAAGCAATATTTCTAGTACCCGCATTAAGAAATATCACGCGACATTTAATCACAAATTGCGATATATTTACCCTAAGCCGATAACATTAATAGGTCTTTCTACATCTGAGTGTAATATTTTGACATGGATTTGAAACGCACATAAATCATATTTTTTAGCATGTACTTCATAGTTTTATTTATATTTATACTGTATAATATAAACATCTGCTTATACGACCACAATATGCTACTCAGCTTGGCAAACTGGCGAGACACGGCTGAAATATTACCACGCACTAAATCGCCGTTTTTGTGAAGATGAATCGTTCCGAGAGTTGCTTCGTAATTAGAATTCTATTTCCTGTAGACTGTTTCTATTTCTGTACAATCGAAGACTGGGTGTACAGCGATAGACGTCCTCCAAAGTGTACCAGTAGCTTTATAGACAAAATAAATTCCCACGATGCATCCTTTCACATGTTGATTCAATATTATGAAACACCAACTAAAATAATAATAATAAAATGGCCGCCGAACTCTCGTTGAGAGCGAGAAAGCCACGAGACTTTTTTTGTCCCTCAAATAGTGTCCTATTCTCTCTCGCCATCGCGTAAACTGTTCTATGTAACCATGGTGTTTGAACCAGTGAGTGGACTGCGGAGAGAATGAACTCTATTAGGAGGGGCAACAACCAGTCTCGTTCCTTTTGCTTTCAACGATATATCTGGTCTATTCAAATACATACCACGGTCTAACAAAGTCATCAATTTCCGGGAAAAAACAAACATATGTATCTAATTTTCTGATTTAGATTTTATAATGAAAATTGTTATGATACTATCGACTGCATATAAACATATAAATGCTATTTGTCTGTAAGTTTGTAATGAGCAATGTGTTAACTGTATAATAACGGTGTTGACTATAAATATTCGACTGTGAACTTAACGACGGAGGCTCGGTGAAGATGGATGTCTGTTTTCAAGTATTCCCTCGTGATAACGTGTCTTAGCTACTTATCGCTAATTGCGGGAACTCTAAAAAAAATACTATTTTTATTATTTACAATTATTAAAATTTTTATGAGAATAAATACAAGTACATATTAGAATTGAGAACAACTGTTTGTAGTTTGTTATTTTTCTTTTTAATTATTGCAAATTAGTTTGCTATTCACTAAACATAACACTTTTCTCATCAGTCAGCATGTTACCCTCACAATTCCAAAATCAATGTTTGTTTTACCTACACCTAGATAAGAATTTCATCGAAAAAGACAAAAAAACAATTAGCGTTACCAACACATTTCTTGATACACTGTTATTATACATTAAATCACAGTCCCTCCACAAGTGGAGGGACTGTGATTAAATACATAAAATACCAATATAGTCAGTCGTATATTATTATAATCAAAATACGCGGAAATACGAAAAAAAAACTATAATTACAGGAACTAGAAATATAATATTATCCATATAAGTCTTCATATGTTAGGAGTGTATAGTTAAAGCCTGTAAAATACGTAGTTCAACTGTTTGTACATGTATATTACTGTAAAATACATGTACTTTATTTAAGCTGGAATTAATTTTCATCTAAAAATCTATTTTCGGTGTTTTGTATGGAGTTTATTTTCAATGATTTTTGACAAGTTTAATGTAAAATATAGGAAAAAAGGTATGTTCGCTAGATTTTATTTTCACTGAATCATTCCTTCAGCGAAAATAGCGAAAATTAATTCCAAGCGAAAATAAATTATTTTACAGTTTATCGAGTTTGTATTCACCCAAACACGGACATACATCTGGATTTAAGGGGAGACTCGCATATATCTACAGTTAGACGCATACTATTAGTACACACAATTAGAATCGTTACCTGATGTCATTTTTATTCACAGCAACCACTCAAATTACCCACAATGCCTTTCATCTGCGCAAGATTGCGGGTAATTGTCTGGACTAATTTCCATAACTACATGCGTTGTCAAAACGTTTCCTGGTCATATATCACCAGCGCGTATATGTATGATATTTGTATTCTATCGTGATCGACTGATTTGAAAACAAATTACGGACAATCATTTAGTTTGCGTTTTTTGTCGTACATGGGAATTCGTTTATTGCTCATCGAAGCATGGCATAGGGGTGACTAACATGTGATTTGGTGCTTGTTGTCGTAACCTCTGCTAACAAAATCATCAACAGACACACACTATTTTTTGCAGAACCGTTTTTTTTCAATATTATCCAAACACAGTATGATTAATAAATAGTGTTTCTATATTTTACCATAAAATTAAAGCCCGGTTTATGTGTTGTTTGTTATTTATTAACTCCACTGATTGACGACAGTTTCTAAATATACTGGAATTCTGTACATGTATTTTGAGGTCGAATAACTGTGGTTTATGACGTCATACTATTAATTTATACATAGTACGCTTTGGATAGTCGAGGAATTGTTGTGTGTATAGAGACGTGATTGGTTCCCATGGAGAGGAGAAGATCTTGCTTATTTTCAATATGGCGCTCTGTACGGAAATTATACATTTTAAAGTACGAAGGATTTATATGTTGTCTCACCTCTTTTCGTAATGGAGAATAATGATCCCCAACTGTAGACAAAAAATCACGTTTTCCTTTGCAATTGCAAAGTGGCACTCCCAAAGGAGGGTCATCTT